GCAGTGTGGAGGGGTGGTGAGGAAGCAGTGAGGGGGGTGATGAGGTAGTGAGGAGGGGTGGTGAGGCAGTGTGGAGGGGTGGTGAGGCAGCAGTGTGGAGGGGTGGTGAGGCAGTGTGGAGGGGTGGTGAGGCAGCAGTGAGGAGGGCTGATGAGGTAGTGAAGAGGGGTGGTGAGGCAGCAGTGAGGAGGGCTGATGAGGTAGTGAAGAGGGGTGGTGAGGCAGCAGTGAGGAGGGCTGATGAGGTAGTGAGAAGGGGTGGTGAGGCAGCAGTGAGGGGGTGATGAGGTAGCAGTCTGGAGGGGTGGTGAGGCAGTGTGGAGGGGTGGTGAGGCAGCAGTGTGGAGGGGTGGTGAGGCAGTGTGGAGGGTTGGTGAGGCAGCAGTGAGGAGGGCTGATGAGGCAGCAGTGAGGGGGTGATGAGGTAGCAGTGTGGAGGGGTGGTGAATTTCTCTACATTCCTAACCAAAAGGTTTTGGGTTCAAATCCGAGTTGGGACACAGTATTTGTATTTTTGGGTAAGGTACTTCTTTACCCAAAGGGTTGTGGGAGTGTGGAACAAGTGGCCCAGTCATGTGGTTGAAGCTGATACTTTGGCTTCCTTCAAGAAACAGCTGGATGACATCCTGGGATCAATTAACTAGTAACTACCAAACAAGATAAATGGGCAGAATGGCTCCTCTTGTTTGTAACCTTAATTATCTTCTTATCCACTCATCAGCCACCAGGCACGTACTGCACATGCACACTGCCGGGTCATGAACAGTGCCTGTCTCTGACCCAAGGGCTGACAACATTGAAAAATAACAACTAAGAATACAGCATGCATAAGCCAATCCCACCTCAGGTCCACTTGGTGCAGAAATATGTCAGATTCAGTCTCTCTGCGCACTATAAGAAAGATTTGAAAACATTCTGATTGCCTCAGTCAGATGTTTAAAAAATATCTTATTACCCACTGGCAACAAGCTAAAGAGAAGAAATTTAGAAAATTCTGCCAGCGACATCAGACAGCAGCACAGTATACTGCAGCGCCTTGCTCAGGCCTGCAACAGCAGCGTCTGTCCTGGGAGCCTGAGCCCATGGAGCCCCAGCTCTGCTCCAGGACCTGTCAGACTCTTGTTCCTCCCTTCACTGACAAGTGAGCGGACAGACTCGGGCGTCTAAACGCAATGCTTCAGGGAACAGAGAAACGGAACGAGAAGGAAAAGCTCTGACCTGTTTTTCTGATCCGCAGTCAATTCCACAGAACAGTCGTGTGGCTTGTAGAAATGGAGCCTATTATTTTTATTCTGAGAGAATTTAAAAAATGACACTATACATACAGTAGAGACTATATCCGAGCAAATAGATCTTGATTTATTTTGTTGTAAAGATGAAAATAAATCATTTTGGGGCGCCTTCAGTAAAGCCAAATTTATTTCGGCAGATTCATGCGGTCGGAGAATGACTGGTGAAAACAGTGCGTCGGGCGTCTGGGAGTTTTTTTTTTACATGGACGTGTCGTTCCTGTAATTCTAATTATCTTTGATGTTGTCGTGCAGTGAAGTTCTTGCGACGTTGTGAAACACTACACATCTTCTGCGTGGTGAAGACAGTGCTGTGCAGGTGTGTGTATTTCCAGTGCCTCTTCTGTAAGGTGAAAATCCTTTAGACTTTAGCAAAAGAAAAGGCCTCTAGAGACCCTTATTTCTGTCTAGCTAGGGTAGCGTTTCACATTCCCGTAGTTATCATGCTAATGTTGATGGAAGAAGGTATTGCTGTTTTTTGGGGTTATCTAATCCACTCCTGGTATTGGGGAACCCCCAGACCTGCAGGTTTCTGTTCCACCTGAACGCTTAAACAACCAATCCCTCGACAGCGCTGATAATGGGTCTCATTTGAGTTGGTTCACCGTTTTCAGTTGCTCAGCCTGTAGGAGTTGCTTTATAAGTGTCGTCTTTCTAAAGTAACTTGAAATCTCAACCCGTCTTGAGTAGGAAAACAGCTTGTGAAGGTCCCAGTCGAGCAGCTTGCTGGTTCATGCGAGCCGAGAGCTCAGCTGCGGTGAAAAGCAGCAGAAATTGGGGACCCCCTGCGGGTCACAGGGGCTGGTCTGTAGCGTGGGTGGGCAGGGCACCCCCCGATCCATGACAGCCGGTATAGACACCTTTCAATCAACACCCAGTTAACATCTGGGTCACACAGGGGCCTCTCATCCGCATCATTGGTTCAGTTAGGTCAAAGGGGTCTGATTTGTGCTGGAATGCGCAAATCAACACGATGCTCTAGGACTGGTGCGGCCCACCCCTGCATCTGAACAATAATCACCGAATGATACAACATGTCAGACGGGCTTACAGCTTCTCCCTGGTGTCAAGATGGTTAAAATTAGTACTCAAGGTGGGCTTTATGGCTCCATCATGGCGGTCATCTTACTGAAATGAATAAATTGAAGATGCTCAAGTTGGGGAGGGCAGCAGCACGATGGCTAGTGGTTCAGTGGTCAGCACTGCTGCCTCACACCGCTGGGGCCGTGATTTCAATTCTGGACCTGGGGTGCTGTCTGTGTGGAGTCTGTACGCTCTCCCTGTCTTCAGGTGGGTTTCATCCAGGTGCACCGGTTTTCTCCCACAGTCCAAAGACATGCTGGGAGGTTGATTGGCTTCTGGGAAAACTGATCCTGGTGTGAGTGAGTGTGTGAGTGTGTGAGTGTGTGTGTGTGTGTGTGTATCTGTTTGTGCAGGGGGTTTATTACTGTAAAGGTGCTCTTGTGACACCGCAATGATGTGTTAGCAGATTTGATTAGATCGAAAAATAGCGCGGTAGCTAGTGTTAATTAGAAATGAGTGAAGTTATAAGATTCCACTCTTCTTCCTCGGGGCGCCGAATGGATCTGACCTGATACGACCACTTCTACAGTGTAAACCAGAGGTTTCCAATCCTGATACTAATGACCCACACCCCTGCTGGTTCTCTGGCAGCCAAGCCCTCGAGTACACTGTCGAGCCCTCCACTGGCTTGATAACGATGACAGGAGTCAGGGGAGCTGGTTGTTCTCGGCTCTTAAACATGTTTCAGCTCGAACCCTTTGTATTTTGTAAGTGAAATAAGATCCCAAGCTTGTGAGTAGAAACAAAAGGCAAATGTTCCAGCGAAGCAGCTCCTCAGATGAAGCGAGGCTCAGTGATCTCCTGAGAGCCAGCAGGTGTGTGGGGCGCCAGGGCCAGGGCTGGGCACCGCTAGTCTAGGCCGTGGCGTGCTGTGGGACACTGACCTCTGTCCTTCCTGCTTCGGCCCCAGCCTGTTTCTTGCACGCCCCTCTCGTGCTCGCTGCACGCGGGCACTGCTCCTTCTGCTTCTGGTGCAAAGACAGGAGAGGCACCCCTGCCCCCAGAGGGCCCCAATCTGGACATGAATACAGGTCACCCCCACTGCCGCTAAGCAGAATCCCAAGCCCCTGTAAGCTCTGTAGGACCACAGCTGAGCCTTTCCTGACAAAATTGTACTCGTTCACCTGCTAAAGGAGTAAAAACACACACTTTCCAAGTCTTAACACATTGACTGCGGCCCTCCAGGGTTAGTATAAGGCCTGATTATATAAGCTTTGATTCCAGCTGAGCTCACTGTAGGCTTAATGGGCCCTATTTAACAGCGTCTCCCTGGTCTTCAGGTCCTGCAGCTCTGTGAGGTCCTGGAGACCCTGCAGACACAGTGGTCCTCCTGAGGTCCCTATTGTAAGCACTCGCAGGCCCAAAGAGAAGTACCATGTTTATCCAATCAATCAATGGAGTAATTGAGCTGAAGTACAATAAAGAGAGCATCACAGCTCCTCCGGGATTTGTGTCTGACAGCCCCGCTATCGGTTTTGCTGTAGAATAAACCCACAGCTGGACAATTTCAGCTCTTCTCAGCAGGGGTCCCCACCCAGGTCCTGCAGCTCCCAGCCAGGCAGGTGTGATGGGATTTAATCCCTGCAAAGAAGCAAGGGATTTGTTAAATTACAAAAAATCAGAATACTCTACTGCCCTCAAGGACTACAGTTCCCTTAAGTGAGCAAATGGCTTTCTTAGTTCATTAGTAATGTATAAGTGTTCCTTTTTTTTAGAAACAGTAACCCTATGGTTTAACCCTGGGAGCAGGAAGTGTGTGGGCAAACATGCACTGACAGAACATGCCACTGTACAGACTGATGCTGTACACACACTCTGAGAGAATGTTTTATAGAGGCGCACCAATAATTGATTCCAATCGTGAGTCTTTAATGCGTTCGTTAACTAAAAACCCTGGAGAAATAGTGTTCAACACATTTTAAACCAGTATCTTGGTCACAGACACAGGTTTAAACAAACAGAATTCACTGCCCTTAATGCATAAGTGAGGAGCGTTGCTGGAGACAGAGTGAACCAGTACATTTAATAATTTTAAACCTTGAACAAAGAGTCATATGTAGATAAGGTCTATTTTATTTCCATATGACTTTTTTCAAGGTAAAACTATCCACTGTGATTCCAGAGGTCAGTAAAGTGAATTCTTGTAAGAGCTGATGTATTATAAAGAGGTCCTGAAGACTGGTCCCTGGTTGTGCATTGTCCTGATGTCCTGTTGAAAATGTAGATTGCAAAAAGGATAGCCAGAGACCCTACAGCACAGCAAGGACATCTCTAACACACACAGACCCTACAACACAGCAGGGATATCTCTAACACACACAGACCCTACAATACAGCAGGGAAATCTCTAACACACACAGACCCTATACCACAGCAAGGACATCTCTAACACACACAGATCCTACAATACAGAGAAGCTTAGAATATAGGGAGAATGTCTTTAAAGCAGAGATATTCATACATGAATGAATGAGGATACCTTTAATACAGAGAAGTTTAGAACAGAGGAAACAAATATTCTCCCTAACTCTGCGGTCCAGCACAAGGATGGGTTTCTATTCCTGGCTGCCAGATAGGGGCATTTCTGTGTCCTTTCCCAGCGCTGCTACAGTAGGTTCTGGGCTGTGTCTGCTGCCTGGGCTCAGGTCAAGTCAGAACATGAACAGGAGGGAGAGGGAGATGGGGGCACTATATTAATGGAATAAGACAGTAACAGATGTGGTAACTACAAACAGCAAATAAATCAAGAGAAAAATGACTGGTCTGTTTAAGATATGTACCATTAATAGGCATATTGTATTTTTGATTATACAAATGTGAAAACAATAAAAAAAATAAAACCAAACTACTGTATTTCTGGCTTCATATCAAAGAAAAATGTTTCTGTCTTGTATACGAAAAGTAAGAATTTGTTTAACAAATTCATTTTAGACAAATGTCCTCCTTTAGCTGTGTAGAAAGAGATGAGAAGTCTGTTGCTCAGACTGTGCATGATGTCGTGATGTCACTGCAGAATCTTCACTCCAAAATCCACAGACCCCAGTTTGAAGATCAGAGAGCCTAAATCCTCCCTCTTCACCCACCAGCTCCAGCTGCTGAGAGACAGTTCACTGACTGTACACTGGAGGAACTGAACAACTGTTACCTCATACAGGAGCCATCTGAGTTGACAGCAAAGTGTTTCTGATTGTCCAGCCTTCAGCCTGGAGCACATCATACTGCTGTAGGCGTGATTGTCTGCGGAATGGGTCAGACTACCACAACAGACTAAGTGATCTATCTAGAGCTGGTCTTCACACCTCTTCCTCTTCAGTAACATCATGCGGTGACATCATCACGAGACCATGACATCACCACAATATCATGCACTGATCTGCTACACTGTGGTCACACACAGGAGGACTTGGGTCTCGAAACAACCTGAAACAGATGTTTCTTTTATCTTTTCAGACTTTTTAATAATAATAATAATAATAATAATTGCTTACACTTATATAGCGCTTTTCTGGACAATCCACTCAAAGCGCTTTACAGGTAATGGGGACTCCCCTCCACCACCACCAATGTGCAGCATCCACCTGGACTTTTTGTACAAGCTTCTCTGCTTGTCTAGAACAGCTTCGTTTTTATTCTTCTAGAAACGAACATTCAGACGTAAAACACGTATTGGCAAATGTGATCAGGACAATCACTTCTGACTAGCCTCTGTTAGTGCTGCAGGATGAATGGGATGTAATACCAGGTACAGTATGTGTCCGGGTTGATGTACCACATGTTTACCACACGGTGGCAGCAGAGGACCAATAGTGAAGCACACCGGACTGCGCGGGTAGGTTTGAATTAAATTACATCTCGACTAAAACGGTGTTCGTGCGCTGAAGGAAACATTATGATGTGATTTCTCTTAAAAACGTTAACAATATTGTTTTAAATGACAGCGATTCGAGCTGTAGATTAGTGGGAAGTTAATAACTGAGCGGTTTTCCCCTTGGCTGGCGTGTAGTTTGGACAACGCCAGACCACTGCTCGAGTCCGCCTGCGTATGATGCCGTTTGCATGTTGGAGTCTTGTCCTGAAACAGCTCGGGTGTAAGACGGAACATTCAGGTTTTTGTGGTGTATGAGGGAGACTCTTGTTTAGGTGTCAGATCCACGGGTCCGGAGGGACGCGGACGGTTATGAATCTGATCTGAGCTCCACTCACACCCGCGGCGGATCGAGAGGGATTCTCGCGCTTTCTTCTCTCGGCTGCCAAAAAAAAAAACATACAAATGCCTCTTCTGTCGCGGTCTGTGTCTTACACTTTTGTCGGTTTAATCTCTACATCACAGCTTGCAAACGAGGCGAGCCATTCCGCCCATCCAGCCCGTTTGGTCGTTAGTAGTTAATTGATCCGAGGATCGCATTAAGACATTTTGCAGAAGAATCCAGGGAACTGGTTTCAACAACATATCTTTTTCACAAGCCTTGGAGTAAATGAATGCCTCCTGGTCTGATTGCAGGATCCCATCCAGCTGTTTCTTGATAGAATCCAAGCTACCAACTTCAACAGCACAGCTGGGCAGCTCGTTCCACACTCCCACCACCCTTAGTGTAAGGAAGTGCCTCCTGTGTGCAGGTTGCCTCTGTTTACTCCAGTCACAACGCAGGATCTGTGCGTGTATATGTTTTATAATGTGTGTAGATTGTTTCTTTTTCCAGCAGCTTTAGGGTTTTCGTCTCTCCACGTTTGAACGACAGCTCCATCTGTCACTCAAATGCTGTAACTGAAACAGGATGTCAGAACCCCCCCACACACACGCACACACCCCCAGGCCAGCATCGGCCCAGTCTTAATTCAGCCCCTGGATGGGTGGTGGGGGGGGGCAGGGCATTTCCATTTGAAGGCATTCCACTCTTCACATCCCATTTCCCGTGAGCGTGGATAGAGACTGTCCTGGGCTGATTGGGGTGGTTCTTGTTAGGGAATTCCAACATGTTTGGCTTCTTGATTTCAGTTAATGACAACCATCATGTCCTTGTCAATCACAGCCTAATGCAACCTGACAGTCCCAGGCCTGGGCTCCCTTCTGTCGAGTAGCTGGGTGCCAGTCAATGGGCCCATTCTTCAGACAAAGACTGACACGCTCACTCCTGCCTGCCAGCTACCTGGAGAACTGGCTGACGAGTTCGACACGTCCCCTGCTGGGGAAAGCTCTTCCCTAGAGTTTCTCAAGAATCCCTGCTGTCTGCTATCCCTTCTCTGCAGTCACTATCACTTTCAGTTACCTCTTCTGCAATTCACGGTGCCCAGGAGCGTATCCCAGGAAGTACTGGGCTCGAGATGGGATACAACCTGGACAGGGCATCAGTCCACCACAGGGCACACAGATACAGACACACACACTCACACCAGGGCCAGTTTTTGCAGACGTAGTTCAATCAGGGAGCTGCGTCAACATGCGCAGGCTGCAAAGGAACAAGTAAAGGTCTGTTCCATGCTGAAAATAGAAGAAACACAACGTTTGAGAGTTTCTTTTCTTCTCTCTTTTTTTCCCTGCCCTGTGCCCTGAGGTGGCGAAACCTGAAATGGACCACACTGCTGTGAATGTGCAGAGCTTTAGAAATTACACAGTGCTGCTGCAAGACAGCAGGGCATCTAACACACTGCTGTTGACTGCTGCCATGTCTCCTGGTTTCCTTTCCACCCGGGCCTCATAGTGGCTCGGTTTAGGCCTATTGTTCACTTAAACTGGTCTATATCACCTCTATTTCTGGGTCTTTACTCAGTGGACATTATCAACTACTTACAGAACCAGGTGGACAGCAGCCCTCCTGGGCCATGAGTGGCTATCAGACTGCCCTTAACCTGATAGGCAACATTAGAAATAGAGCCAGACAACATGGCTGAATAGCTTGTTCCACACTCCCACAATCCTTTGCACATCTAAAAATGATACATTCATACTTATTTATACTATTGTTGGAACTAATATTATATTGTACCGAGCTATATCATTCTGCACTGTACTACTCCGAACTGAAGGGATATTTTATTTAGACTAACCTATCTAGTATAATAGAGGACTCAGACCTCAAGTCTTTAGTCTGAGGGCTCTAAAACACGATTCTTCAAATGGGGCGAGAACCAGACTGACAATGTTAATGAAGGAACACACAGGGCTTACTTTCAACAGTAGAAAAAAGCACACCACAGCACTTGGCAGTTTCCACACAGTCATAGTCTCGAGTTTCCATGTTAATGAAATTGCAGTTTCCGTTGATATGGTCTTGTCATATCACAAATATAAAAACGACAAGGTTCTGTGTTACACTCTGTAGTAAGTCCCTGTAGTACATCCCTGTGACAAGTCTATACTGAACTAGAGTCTACTGTACTTTCCACAATATCCCACTTCAAAACCAAAGTGAAACTGGACACCCTGCAGACACACTGACCCCCCAGGACCAGGACTGGACACCCTGCAGACACACTGACCCCACAGACTCAGAGGAGAGAACCTACATTTTCAGTAATTTGTATGTGAGCAAGCCCTTGCATTGTGTAACTAGTGTAGCTAGCCCAGCTAGCGCTCTGCAGTGTAGCTAGCCCAGCTTCTGTTGTGTGTGCGTGAGTGTGGCGAGGGGAAGGGGGTAATTCTTCATGTAGGGCTTTATCTGCCCAGGCAGGCCCCACATCTGGAACTAATCCAGCTGTGCAGATAGGCTCAGGGGTGGGGAGGGGGGTCTCTGCCTGGCCCTGGGGTTGCATGTGTCCCTGACTTCAAAATAGCCCTGATTGCTAGCAGCTGACGGCCCTAACTCACCCAGAGTGAGCGGCTCTCCTCTGGTGTCGACCTTGTCAGCATCAAGGCTGGACAGGAGAGCGGGGGAGGGGAGAGGGCAGTCGTGTCTTGTTGCCTGGTGCAAAGTAAACCAGGATCCCAGCAGCTCAGCCTGTCCCAGTCCTATCTTTGTAAAAACTCGCCCGTCCGAAGCGGTCCTGATGCCTCAGCCTTGAGGGGCACACAGTGCTGTTGGGTTTCCTTTTGTTGCTGTCAAACGTTACTCTCAATTAGTCAATTAAACACTTACTTTATATGAGCAGTTTGCAAAAATTCAAAGTGATGGGGGGATTTCAGGTTATGTAGCCTATAAAATGGTGGATTTGTCTCAATACCTCCTGACCTGTAGTATTTTTGAGAGGAGTCCAATGAAATGAGTGGTTAAATGAATTCAACGAGAGCGCTAGTGGCCAGTGTCTCCTGACCTGGGAGGGCTGGACAGGAATATACAGTTTTCTAGCAAGACCAGGGGAGTCAAGTGGGGATACACTGGATTCTGTACACCCTTCCCTAGTGTGCGCATTAGGGACCGGTGCTACTGGACCCAGACAGGGCACTGAGATCTGCTCCTGTGTCTTCCAAGTGTCATCACACGGCGTGGCTTTCCTGCTGACATGACTTTGTCTCGTGGTTTGCTGTGGCCCGGGTGTGAGTCTGGAACAAGCTTCCGTGCCATGTTGTTGTAGGCTTCTCTTAAGAAACTGCGGGGCGAGTTCCTCCAATCAGGACAGGATGCACGACTTTACACAAACAGTGGTGGGAGTGTGCAACAAACTGCCCAGCCATGTGGTTGAAGCCGATGAAACTTGATGCGATCCTCAGATCTATTAGCTACTAACTACCAAATAGGCCAGATGGACCAAGGGCTTCTTGTAGCCTTCCTAACGTACTTTGTGTTGCAGTCTGTTCCTTGTGTCTACACTGGTGCTGATTACAGTACATCCTGGACCATGTACTGCATTCCAGTACAAGTCTTTGATTGTATGAGCTGCTTAATGAAATGGGTGAATTAAATATGGGCATTTAAGCAATGAGGAACTGGTTGCTGTGCTGGAATGCATTGCCATTTCCAGTTTTTAATCCCCTGTGCAATGGGTTCCTGCTCTAACTCCAGTGCAGGTTTCTGTGGATCCTGGAGTTTCCTACCTCTGGGGTTTGAGATGTCGAATAAATGACTTGCAGTTTCACCTTGGATAAAGGTGCCTGTCAAGTGGGTGAGTAAATCTTGAAAAATGATTTAGCGCAGTTTCTGGAGGCTGGGGTTTCTGAGACACAAAGGCGCGTGTCTGTTGCTGTGATGGCATGTCACAGGAGCGAAACGCGGTTCGGAAGGCACTGTGCATTTGGGCCAGTTAGAGTGCAGCACATCTCACTGATCAGAAACAGAAATCTGACATTTGTTTTCTTTTGGAGAATAGCCGAAGTGCACTTTGAGAGGGGGACGTGCCCAGTCGAATCAGCCTGAGCCGTTTGAAGCTCATCTTCTCCAGCGCAGATCTTTGATCAGGGCTTGTGCAGAGCCGCCGTAACCAGAGCTGGAGCTAATTGGTTGCAGGTCTGGCTGATCTCCACCAGGAGCAGCTCCAGGTATTCCAGAGCAGGCCGAGGGAGCACATGGTCCCTGCGACCCTCCCCCTTCCCGTGAGTCTCTCCCCTCTTGTTTGAGGTTTCTGTGTGTTATTTCGGTGTGCCTGCGGAGCTGTGCAGCAGTCCATCCTGTGGGGGGAGAGAAGAGTTTCTTCTTCTTCTGTAAACCCCTTCGGCCTGCGACGCAGAAGAGCCCCTAGTCCTGGGGGCTCAGTGAGCTCTGAGAGAGTTAATTTCATCATTCGCCTATTCATTCATTCACTCATGTATTCACTCCTTTAGTGTGCCCTGCTTTCTGTCATTGTGCCTCCTTGGGGCCCAATGAGAGCTGGGCTCCCGAGAGTCACCCCCGTTCTCAGTGTTTTCCAGTGCGTACAATGTCTGGCAGTATTATTCCCAGTATAATAACATTTTAGTGCAATTCAGTGCCGCAAGAGTGGGCACAGGGCAGGGTTCACCCTGGACAGGACGCCAGTCCATCGCAGGGCAAATGGGCACAAACACAAGCACACTCACACTCAGTCTTCCCAATTAAGCCACTAGCATGTCTTTGGACTGTGGTAGGAAACCTGTGAAAACATGGGAAGAGCATGCAAACTCCACACGGACAGCACCCAGGAAATGAATCCAGGGTCCCAGCACTACAAGGCAAAAATGCTAGCTAACCATTGTGCCATTGTTCTGCCCTAATGTAGTTTATTATGGTATCATTATGATAGGTGCAGCACAGTATACTATAGTTTAGTAAAGTTACTTTACTAAATGTAGTGTAGTATGATGTACAGTTGTACAGTATAGTGTAGTGCAGTACAGGGTGGTATATTTCAGTATAGTATAGTTTTGATAAGTGTAGTACAGTATGATATAGTTCAGAATAGTGTAGTTCTGATAGATTACAGAACATGGTATAGTTTAGTATAGTATAGTTGTCATAAATGGATTACAGTATGGTGTGGTGTAGTTCTGACAGGTGACAGTATGGTATAGTTGAGTACAGTTCTGGTAGGTGCAGTGTAAATAAGTATCAGTCGGGTTAAGGCCAGCCTCAGTCTGACCTTCTAACACTGATTTTCACTCCTGCTCCAGGAGGGCTGCTGTCCTCCAGGTCTCAGAAGTAGCTGATAATCCTCTGTTTCCAGGTCTTTACTCAGTGGTGATACAGAACAGTGGAGTGAACAAAGACATTGGTCCAGGCTGGAGAGAAGATCAGGAGCCTGAGCAGGCCTGCGGTACTGGGAGCGAGGTCAGCAGACTCAAGTAAGCAGCTGAGGACTCGTGCAGAGAAGTGAGCAGGAAGGCTGGATGACAGCCCTCGTTAGCATCTTTTATTATCCTATTACCAGCACTTCTCACCTAATTGGCTCTCATTAGGAGCGGGAAGGGAATAATTAACTGTGCTGTTCCATCGCTGCAGGGTCACAGACACACATAATCCCAAAAATACAGGGAGCTACAGTAGCTTTTCAGTGCCAAGGATAGTGGAAATAAATGATCTCACTAAATAAATGGATTAATTTCCTTAGGTTTTTCAAAACAAATTGCAGTAATCAGCTGAACTTAGTAATTGAGTCAAGTGGAGTGTTGCACAGTTTCAGTCCTGTTGCCTGCTTATTAAATATCTATTTGGTGTTGAGTTGTACCTGCACATGGCCTTGCACATCCTGGGCACAGACCAGAGCCAGGATCCCTGTGTGAAGAGGACCAGGAATTCTCTCCAGGCCCCCGCTGGTGCTGGATCTGTTCTCAGTCCTGTGACTGGGGCTGATGCAGCTCAGGCTGGGTGAGGAGTCATTCAGCACCTTCAAGTCTCTCTGACCAGCGTCTCTCAAGCACCGTCCAGCAGCTCAAGGACAGCCAGGAGTATACTGTACGTAGTTGGAAACGATGAGAATCCACAGGTCTGATCTTTTGATTAAGGCGGGAATGTTTTTGCTGTGAGGTTTAGCATTTCCGTTCGCGTCCTGTTTCTACCTGAACAGTACGGTGGGACAGTTGGGGAGGGCCCATCCAGGGTGTAGTGCTGCCTAACTCCCTGTGCATCAGTGATCGGCTCAGGGTTTTCCGAGATTCCCACAAGGATTTGGTAACGGATGGCTGGATCATTATCCTCCACTGTTCTATTTGAAAATCAAGCTCACTGTATAGTGTCCGGTGTGTTGAGAAGGAAGTGTGGAGCTGGAAAATACTTGCTGAAAACTCCCTATTTATGGATTAAAGGAGAGTTGTGCCCGTTTTTGGATGGAACACAGATGTTATCATACTGTAAAAGGAACACAAGACCCAAGTTGAAGTTGGTATATTTTCTATCCTTTCTTTTGTGATCTAGTTTCTTAGAATATTTCATTTACCACAGTTAGACACAGAGACAGGGGTTTTCCTCTTTCTCAAGTCAGGCTTGTGAAGTAGATTGTGTAGTTTCCTGGCTGTTCAGAAGACATTTCCATGGCTTTGATTGAACATGCAGAATCTTTTCAGAGGATCAGATCATCACGGGACACACAATGACACAGAAACACACTCACACCAGAATCCAGTTAACCTGCTAGCATGTCTCTGGACCGTGGCAGGAAACCCACATGAACATGGGGAGAACATATAAACTCCCCAGGAACTGAGCACAGGGCCACAGCACCGTGGATCCATTGGTAACCAGTGGTAACCATTGTACCACTGTGCTGCTCATCAGATATTAATAATAACAGTAATTTAGCCCCATCACGTACCCAGGGGGATTCATAGAAATGAACAGATCTGCCATTCTGGGCATAATATACTGTTTTGCACAAGATTATTTCCTTTACACCTCAGTGATTGTCCTGAATGTGTGCTACCTTGATTCAAGGCTTCAGCTAAATTAACAATTATACTGGTAAGAGGTTTGAGCAGAGAGCTGTGTCAGCGTGCACTGACTAAAGAACGAAGCAGAGGTTAGGTCCTCGCTGAAAAAGCATAGAGAATAAAACACATTTTGGAGCCCCTTTAGGTGCGTGTAGAGGCTAATAGTTGTTAGCTACTGTAATAATAGTGGCAATTCATCAGGGGCCACCACAGCAGAGTCTGACAATGAGATCTTGTCCTCTCTAATGCCGAGGGTAGAGCAGATGGCAGAGCAGGACACAGCTACTCAGCGTGCAGAGAGTTAGTGGCAGAGTTGCAGGGTTTGAACTGGGAACTTCCCAGTGGCATGACTCTTTCTCTTAGTCATCGGACCACTTAGCGGTGAAGTTCCTGCGGTCTTTTCCACTCTTGAGATTGACAGGGGCAGGACAGAGCTGTACTGTAGTGGACAGCAGTTCTTAGACAAGGCCTGTCCAGTGAGCTGTGATGTGGACCTCATATTCAAAGAGCCATTACAGCAGTATTATTGAAGGTCAATCTTTTGGTTATTTAAAAGATATGCTCAATCGCATATAAATTTCACAACAAATTATGTGCTGTTGCTGTCCATGCTCTAATAAGATGCAAGCAATGGACACAAGGTAGTATATACCCAGGATGGAACGCCAGTCCATCACAGGGGACACAGGCACAACAGAGCCAATTTTCCCAGAGGTCAGGCGCCTTTCAGCCTCCGAAATGTGCCCCGCAGCTCCAATGAGCTCATTAACACAGCAGGGGCGGCAGCAGAAGAGTTTCCATACCGATGCTGAAGATATTCACTGGGTTGGCTATGTGAGTTTTTGTCAAGTTGCTAATTGAAAAGCACCTGCAAAATCTGCAGGACTCTGGCCTTCCAAGATTTGAGATTGACTGAGGGGGGGTCAGTGTCTGCAAGGTGTCCAGTCCTGCTCCTGGGGGGGTCAGTGTGTCTGGAGGGTGTCCAGTCCTGTTGCTGCAGTCTCAGTGTGTCTCAAGGTGTCCAGGTCTCTTTAAAGCAGTACCACCTGAAAAGCCCGGAAAGCATATTCAACTGGTCCAATTAAGCCGCTAACAAGCTGCCTGAGGTCCCTAAGAGCTGAGCTGGAATGATTACATCTAGTGGCTACGAGATGAATCATGCCGATTTAGTTTATTTAGGCCTGGGATGAGTCAGAAAGAAAAGAAGCACCATTGAGCACAGAACCCTGTGTCAGCAGATGAGGTGGCTGCTCCAATACCAATCCCTCCAGCCTCCAGGACCTACATGCAACCAGGATGTTAATTACTTAATTGATCATGCAGTTCATGGCTGCTTCCAGTCCTACAGAACAGTGCTCAGGCTTAAGTACTTCAGGTGGGCAGCTCACACTCGAAGAAGGCTCCACAGCCAAAACATTGTGTTTTCTTTCTTCTCTTTTCAGCATGGAATAAACCTTTGACTTGTTCCTCTGCAGTGCTCAGGCTTGACTGCTCATCACGGGCAGAGGGGTGGTACTGTGAAATCCCACACTAGGAGTGAAGAGAAGAAGCATACTCATTTATTGACGTAATCTCTTTAATACTGTGTAATACTTTCTCTCTTAAAATACAGTCTCTTCTGAGGTAGACCAATACAGTTCAAGAACATTTTTTTTTTAAAACAGACATTGAAAAAAAGACATGAAATAAATATTTTCATGTACAATATGTCGCAAAAATGAGGTAGAAATGGTTACAGAGAATGTACAAGATACAGGAACAAATTTACTAAAAAAATAAAAATTAAATACCACTTTCAATGGACAAACCGTTTTTTGCTCGCTCAGTTTAAAAAAAACAAACTAACTTGCCCCCCCCACCCCGGGGATAATAAAAACACTCTCTGAAATTTGGGAAGTTTGTTGAGAAGAGCACGCGAGTGACCAGCTCGTAGCTGGCTGGCGAAGTCCTGTGCCCGAGTGGAGAGAGCAGCTGGGGTGAGCTGCTCCTGTCCTTCAGCCTCGTGAGCTCAGACTGCTTCCACTTTCATTTGGTTTTGCATAAAGTTCTAAATATCTCTATTTTTTTCCAACATGTGCTCCTCACATTTCAAAGAACAGTTCTTTTGTGTACTGCAGGATGTCCAGTCCTGGTCCTGGGGGGTCCGTGTGTCTGCAGGGTGTCCAGTTGCGGTCCTGGGGGGTCCGTGTGTCTGCAGGATGTCCAGTCGCGGTCCTGGGGGGGGTCCGTGTGTCTGCAGGGTGTCCAGTCCTGGTCCTGG